TCTATGTCAGGATAATTGAAGTCCCCCATTATCACGATTCTATTGGTTTTGCATCTTTTTGAAATCTGCTTGCAGATTTGCTTATCTATCGTCTTCCCACTATTTGGTGGTCTATAGTATACACCTAACAGAGTAACAGTTTCTTTTCTGCTCCTTAACTCTAACCAAATAGATTCTGTTTTTGGACGCTCTAGCACATCGTCCCTTTCCTAGCACATCATCCCTTTCCAGGGCCGTAACCATGTCTTTAATCAATATTGCTACGTCCCTCCATTTTTTCCTTCCCTATCCCTCCAGAATACATTGTAGCCAGGACTATTCAGCTCCCATTTCTGCCCTTGTTTGAGCCAGGTCTCCGTTATTGCCACTACATCATAACCCCATGTTGCAACTTGAGCCTGCAGCTCACCAATCTTATTTGTGTATTTACGCACATGTACTCAAAGACCGACTTGGTCTGTTCTGCATTTCTCCCCTGTCCAATCCCTCCTTTTTCTGGATTACTCCTGATTACATTGCTATTCATCTCTCCCAGCCCGCTATGTAACTTGTTTGTCCACTCTAATGCTACATCCTGATTCCCTTCCCCCCTCAAAATTAGTTTAAACCCTTTCCCACAGCACAAGGTAACCTCCCTGCAAGCACATTGGTCCCAGGTGTAACCCATTCACCATGCCGTGATGTCCTCAACCCTTTAACCCCTGGCATCAGGGAGGCAACATACCATATGAGAGTCATATCTTTGGTTGCAGAAACGTCTGTCTACTCCTTTCACCATTGTGTTCCCAATGTCAATTGCACTGACACTCTTCCCTATGCCCCCCTGTCATCCATTTGCTTTTGACTTCCCTCCCCATAGATGTCATCACCCTGACTGGTATTCAGTACAGAGAATCAGTTTGAGAGTGCCACCCTCTCAGGGGATTTCTGCACTGCCCGTCCCGTCTTCTTACCATGCCGGGTGGTCACCCACTCACTCTCCTCTTGTGGCGGTGGGGTGACCACCTCCTGAAACGTTCTATCCATGAACTCTTCAGTCTCCCGTATGCTATGTAGTGACACCAGCCTCTCCTCGAGCTCAGAAACTCTTGAGCTCAAGCTCGAGCAACAGGAGGCACTTCCCACACACGTGTCTGTCCAACGTACAAAAAGCGTCCTGGAGTTCCCACATGGCACACAATTGTGCATGCAACCGGTCTCAGTTGCCCTGCCGTATTCCCAGACATGTTTTACATTAATTTAATATAAATATTGTATATTTTATAATTCTGCACCTCTTTCCCCCTCTGCACTGAATTCCCACTCTCACCAAATTCCTTAACAGAATTCTCACTCTGTTCCACCACACTCAATTCCCTCCTAATGCTGCTGGGCTCTCTGTTCAATAAAATGCAATACCTTACCAATAAATTGGAACAATCCACCATTCATAACCCTAATCAATACAAACAGATTGATTGCACAGCTTAATTTTAAACATCCATCAAAGATTCTAACCTTTGGGTATGTTGTTAAACTAATGATAGTGGAACTGTTTCATAATGTGGTGGTTGGGCGGGTGGGGATCCATAAAATCTCAACCCATGGATGCGGTATGATAGCTGAATTCACCCCGCATGCGAGAGCTGAATAAGCAAAATATTTACATCAGGAAAAAAATGATAAAGGGAGTACAGGATTTAATTATTTAAAGGAATGATATACAACTCTAAACTTAATATCTACAGGGTGATTATAAAGAGAAATTACGTACAATAGCAGGCCATGAGAATCATGGTTATAAACGGTAGGATTGAGCTTAGCTTCATACAGATGCTCTATTTCAATGGGCTTGCAGGGTCTGTGAGATCATAGAGGCGTACAATTTTAAATGGAACTGAAAAAATGAATTCAGAACAATACTTTACAATGCTTCAAGATAGTAGAACAAGTGGACACAGATTTAGAGTTGCAAAGAGCAATTTCAGGACAGAAAACAGGAAGCTTTTCTTAACTCAGATTATAATTAATGACTGGAATACGTTGTCAGGAAGGATGGTTGAGGCCAGGATGCTGGAATCATCTACAAGACGACTGATGCTGTGATGGGAGAACAGTAGGGTAAGTATTCTGAAGGGATACAATCAGATAGGCCAATGGGTCACCTTCATCCAAACTTCATCCTTGTGAGTTATAGTAGTCAACTTTCTTTTCTGTGCAGGACGCTAAAAAATAGTGAGGCTAGGAGTTCAATCTAAAAGTGGCACACAGACATTTCTGTGGCACACTGCCCAATCTTACAACAATTACATGACGAGGGATAGACAAAGATCTCTTCTGTGCTGTTGCCAACCACCTTAGTCACTTTTTTCTTCATGATATATCCCTTCCAAAAGTTACAACAACCACCAGAGTCTGACACTGGACTATCACTGGAAAAATTATCACTGGACTCTCCATTAATCTGTACATGGAATACCCAGCCCCTTTGTAATACGTTAGTCAATTTAGTTGGCATTGCATATAGGGTCTTAGAACTGCTTCAAGTAGCCCAGTAATGCCTGACATTGATTTTCTAGACATGGGTCATAGATTCTAATAGACTTTAAATGGTTAAACAAACCCCTGCTAGTCTTGGAACTTTCTCCCTTCATTAAAGACACTATAGAAATGCAATTTGTTGTTGTTTGTTGTAATTCATTAAATCAGGTAAAACCTATAAGAAAGTCACTGGAAAATCAGAGAAATGCTCAGAAAGAAATAAGCTAAGTACCATTTAAAAGTTAAAGACAACAACAGAAAATTGCATTTATATAGCACCTTCACATTGGGAGGACGTCCCAAGGCGCTGAAGGCAATATAAGAGTAGCTGAAACCTGCGTGCATTACAACCACATCAGTCGGAGACAAACAACCCCACATAAACAAGTTAAATCAGCAGAGAGAACACGCACGTCTTGACTGTTTACTAAAGCCACAAAAGGTCACATTAACATACAACCACTACATACAATTCAACCCACTCAAGGGCATCTATGTTATCATCAGTCATCCTACTAAAGTTCACTTCAACTATTGTGAAGCCCACTGAATTTTTTGATGCAATCATATTCTTCTCAATATTTCCCACTGATTCACTGCAGAATGTCTCAACTTGCTTCTATTTCCCAACTACACCAAAGTTATCCTAGAACGTCTCTTCCCCTGATCTCTGAAGGTGGTAACTTATCTTCGGGTAAGACTTCTCTAACTCTTTGGCTAAATAGCTTTTCTTCACAGGAGGCTGGTCTGGGAGAGTTAGCAGTTTATTATGTCATGGGAAAAGCAAAATCAGAGATTGTCTTCATGCAATGCCCATATGCCTGAACTTTCAATTGCAGTGGGTGGGGGGGTGGAAGAAAGATATAGGGATGGGAACCTTAACTCATACATAGCTTCCAGGGAGGTAGTTATAAAGCTCTCCACTCAACACTGCCCCATTTAAATCAGTAGTGAGTCAACCCAGTGAATGAAGTTGAGATCCTTCCTGGTGTGCATGGATCTGTACTGTACAATGGATTCTTGTTCTTCCAGTACTTTTATAGTAGCAAGAGTAGCACCAAGTTGGTACACTGTGGTTCTCAACACAGCTGAGATCAGGAAATCACTATGTGGGAATACCAATGGTAAATGTCTATCCTACACTCTATACCACCCCCTACAGGACTCAGATGGTACTGATTAATAATATTAGTTTATGGGTTAAAACAGGTGGTTGCTTTTGGAAAGATAAATTTAGCAACATATTTCTAATTTGCAAATGATGTCTGGAGCCTGAACAACAACAAAAAAATTACTCCACAGGGAACAAACCTCAAAGTACATTACAAAGATGGAATGGGAGCCCGAACTGCAAGGATTTCATGGGATGGCATAGAGGAGAGGTGGTTGTGCCTTTGACCACCTCTCCTCTACCCCATTTTGAAAGAGTTCCAGATATTGGGGGCAAAGTGGCTCTAACTATTGTGAGGCAGAGCAGTTAGGATGGGTGGGGGGAGAGGAGCATGAAGTAGGCCACAGTTGACAGAGCAGATGGGGTGACTAGGGAAATAGGGTACTAAGAGACCACACAAAGGGTGTGGTGGGGGGGGGGAGGGGAGAGAGAGAGCAAGGCCATGGAGGTATTTGAAGGTTAAGTCGATCCCGTGGGTGATAGGAAGCAAATGGAGCTCGGCGAGAACGAGGGTGATGTGCTTGCCTAGTCTAATGGGGAGAAGATGCGGGCTTCAAAGTTCTGGATGATCTGCAGCTTGTGAAGGGTGGAGGTAGTAAGTCAGGGCAGTGGAAACGTTGAGTCTAAAGGTAATAAAGGCTTGTTTTTACAGTATTAGGGACGAGACAGTGGCAAATGCGGGTGATATTGCACAGATACAAGAAATAGTCTTGATCAAAGCCTGAAAGAAACTTTTAAAGGAGAGTTGAAGTTAAAACAAAATTCCAAGGTTTCATACAAGCTCCATGAATTTGAGTGAGAAGTCGCAGAAGTCGATAAAGTCAACTCCTGAGGTGAGAAAGCACTGGTGGGAGCCGAGCAGAATAGCCTCAGTTTCGTCTGCATTGAGGTGGATCAAGTCGGATCACAATGTGGTCGGTGTTACCAACAAAATGCACTATATTCAATAAACATTTGAAAAATACATTGCGTGAATGATGTTGCAAACACTGTCTTTCATCTTATAGTTCTGCAAAAGATTTTCAAACCTGATAAGAAAAGCCCAGTTATTACTTCAGGATTTCATTATTTGTTCGATGCAATCCTTTTAAGTGAACTTTCATAAACTCAAGTGATACTATTAACACAACCATTGCAACCAATGTAACTAACAGTGCAGCAGCTTCAGAATGCTGACTGGAAAGTTACTAATTGTACAGAAAGTTCAGCAACTGGCAGAACACAATAAAGTACTATTCAGACGAGACAAAATTCAGCTAACTTACCACCATACAACATCATCACATCCAATTGAATTATGTGGCCTTACCTTGTAATATTTGGTTCCACTATCATTCTGAAACAGTGTAAGGCACTTGCTGTCCAGCCTCCAATAATGTCGCTTTCGCTGCACAAAGACAAAATTTGCTGTGAATTTGAGGTCAATCTCTATGTGAAGTTGTATGCAAACAATTTTTATTATTGCAAATATTCTGAGTTTAGCAACCAACTCATACAGGTTAAAGCATCCCTATCCCAATAACTGATATATTCAAGAAAGTAGTTTGTGGGTTATCTATTTGTGAAGGTTATTATAAAGCAGGTATATAAGCCATGAAAGGCTTTTATGGATGTTTGCCTAGAAAATACACAGCCATTACACTTTACAGTGAATCTTGTGAAGCATTTTGAGATGCTCTCCCAATGCCCAAGGTGCTATATCAAATGCAAGGATTGTTTTATTATTAAAAGAGGTTCTTCTGGGGTGAAGCAACTTATAGGAGCAGAATTAATGAAAAGGTTCATGTAAATGACAAGCAGAATTAAAGAAAAGGTTTATATAAATGACAAAGGAAAGTGCATAACTGAGGACAGGGAGGTGACAAAAACACAACAAAAAGTAAACTGATAAAATAATGAGGGCAAAGAGGGAGCATGAAAAACAAACCTTATCTGAGATGGTATCAAGAGAAACAGTAAAGTTATTTCATAAATATAGGAGAAAAAGTGATGAACATGGAGATCAGCCCATTAAATCAGATTCAGTACAGCAATAATAGAGGATAAGTTAATGGCTCAGCTACTAAATAAATGTTTTGCTATGGAGGACTTGTTTTCCCTTTAAGAGGCTGTTTCCATATTCTCGTGGATTTCTTAGACTTCCAATATGTGTTAAAGGGAATATACAGAAACCTGTAACCTTTGAAACTGAAGACTAACATTATCTGATCCACCACACACTTCAGTTTGAATTGTTCTATGAATAGAGCTGTGCATAAGAACTGGAGGGTTGCAAACAAAGAAAGTTCAGCACAGAGTGGGAGGGGAAAATCTGAAGCTTTGTTACTTTGCACCTCCACTAGCATTGACATAAGTCAGATTGGTAATGCCTGGAAACAGTTTTCACTCTCTACATTTAAAACAAGGGAAAATTAAGTTTTAAAACATTCACCGTCATGTATAAAATAACAAAGAGAGAAATAAAATATAATGGTGCTTGACAAGAATGACTTTTGCAGAAGAGTAAACATTTTCAGAATCACCTCATGATCTGATCATGTCCCAGAATGCATGAAAATGCTTTTGCCAGGGGCAAGCTATTTAATTCTTGTGACTTGTAAACCCTAGCCAACTAGTCTAGTGCATTCAAACTTTTGTTCTTTGTCCATAAATAAAATAATGGAAAAACCTTGATTATAAAATAGTTACTGACCAGATTGTCCTTGTTGGTGTAGTGGACCATCCAACCTTCTTTTACCATAGTACTGCTCTTCCTTTTAGTGTGCTTGACAGACTGCACCACTCTCATAAGGGGTATGTTATTGCTTGTTGAAGGACTAGAACAAAATATTCTAAGTTACTTAAAAAAGAATAAACCATACAAAATTCATGAATGCTGACTGATAGTGAACTCAACAGAGAATCTATCCAAATGTGCTTTTCCTGTTACCTGAGAATGCTTAACAGGAGATTTAATGTGACCAGCATAGTGTTACACAAAATAAGGCATCCATAAAGCACGTATCCCTTAATAAGATGGCATCAGTCTGTGTAGATGACAGATATTATAAAAAACACAATGGCCACTAAACTTGAAGAAAATGTTTTATTAGACCTTTAGCTCTGCTTCATAAATTTATATGGTCAGCAAATTGCCTCTGAAGCACTGACAAGATGTTAGGCCATAAATGGATGAAGGCATGGTTAATGCAGATGTAAGCAGATTGTTTAACTTATAAAGAATGACTGCAGAGAACCAGTGGATACAAGCATAACAATAACAAGCCTCAAATGAGACCAGATATGTTTTCCCCTCTACAAATGTGCAAAAAACGTCCTATCAAGAGTGGTTAACGTCATCCCTACTAAGTCTTTATATAAAAAATTGTTGAATATCTGATTTAGAAATGAGGTTTAAAGAATAAGAAAACATATAGATGAATAAACATCCACTGGAATACAGGGATTCCAGGACTGTTGGCAACATGTAAACAGAATCTATGGAGCACAAATCCATAATGCCAATATCCTGGGGTTTCAAGAGAGCATATCAGGTGAGAGGTGCGAACAGGGAAAGAATCACAGAGAAATTTCAGAGTTCAATTCCTTGAAGTTTTACTGTGGTTATAAATTTTCTCTAACCTTTGATCAAATGAGTACACAAAAGGACATGACTCTTGAACTGTGGATTGAATTGTCCAAAGAGACTATAAATAGTTTAATCCCATTCCACATTTTCAGGAAGTGCTGCCTCACTATCCCATTTATTTCAATGGTAGATCCTCAAATGTGGCCTTCTTACCATTGAAAAGGGAGGCTTCTCAATGACCACAGAAATTATACAGATGACCACAACTCTATCACTAATGCAAACAATATATCTGAAGTCAACTCAAGATGCAGACGAGTTTGATGAATGCCATAAAAATGCATTAGCAACTGGCTCACAGCTCATATTTTATATCTAAAAATAGAAGTATGTAGTGGGCCAATTTTAACAATTTCTGTCAATATACAGTAACGGATGTGACCTCAACAAAACAGATTCTGATCATAATCCAATTAAATTGCAAGAAGAGTCCCAAGTGTAAGTAAAGACCCATAGGGAGATGGGGAAGGAGAGGACAAGGCGGAGGGATAGAGGAAGAGTGTTTCAGAGTTTTGGGGCATATTGGCTGAAAGCGCAGCCACCAATGGGACAGGCAGGAGGCCGGAGTCAGATGAGCAGAGGCAGCGAGTAAGCAGGTTGGAGAGATAGGGAGGTGCCAGAGCATTAAGCAATGAACTACCTGATTGTCCTGACATGTTCTTCATCTTTATCACCATCCAGATCAGAGGAGTCCATAAAGTACAGCTTGTCATCTGGGATAGAGGACTCCTCTGTGTCATCCAACACCCTAGTGCAATCACTGTTCATGTCACTGCTATCCACTTCCATTGGCATATCTGAATCAGGTCCTGGGCTGGCAGGCTCTATGCAACAATAGTTACACAGAAATTATGGCACATATTTCCAGTGATGAAACAGTACATATTTGTGAAATAGAAGTAAATAAATAGAAGTAAATGTTTGAAGAAAAATACTTGTTACCTGATATACAAAAAGGTTGCCAAACTGAAGTCGAAAAAACAAAGCTCAGAATTACAATGCAACATAGTAGGTATGATGTCAACGACAAAAATCTAATTTTATTCCAATATGTCGAATAGCAGAGTATTTAATGAAAATAAAATAGAATTTTTCTTCAAATTAGGATTTTAAAAAGTGCCTGCTTTTGAAAGAATGTCATAGATCAAGTGAATCTTAAACAGATCAGATGCCACTGGACACTAGGGTTTCTTTGCTGCTAGGACTGGAACATGGAAAATGGGGAGAAAAGTTGTCTCTTCATGGAGTGTGGTCTGTGGAGTGAAGAAGACTCGGGCTGAATAATGGAGATGGAGTCTTGCTCAATTATCTTTGGTGATCTGTAAAGGACTCACCCTTAGGAGGCAAGAATGAAGAGTAAAGTATACACGGTTTGACAGTGGAAGGAGCGAGTTTGATGAGCCAATGGCTTTCACTCTTTCCATGCGTTATGTTTGATTAGATGAAAAGACCCGATGGGTAAGTGGGGGTGAGCCCTGGTGGGTAAGGGGGTAGTGGGGGGGTGAGAGACCCGGTGGATTGGGGGGGGGGGTGTGGTGAGAGGCCCAGTGGGTAGGGGTGGGGGGTTGAGAGCCCGGTGGGTAAGGAGTGGAGAGACGCGGTGGATAAGCATGTTGGTTTAAATCAGAAGTATTTAGTGTCCATTGAATATTCCAAAACAGACCAGAATGAGTTGTCAATTCTCTGCTGAATAATTACCAATATTGAATCAGCCCGAATACAGATTGTTGTGGTTCAGCACCAGTTCAAACAATGCTGGTGTAATAACTTTAAGATGGACACAGATCTGAGTTTCAACTTCCAGATTACAGCTTCAATACCTGACAAGAGATCGGCATCCAAGCAGCAGAGTTCAAGATTCATGTGTTACAAATGCTTTTTGCTTCTTGCAATTTAGACCCCAGTGTATTACATACAAGCAGAGGATGGAACATTCATTTCCATGTACGTAAGAAAACAACTGAACATTTTACGGTTTCTCATAAAGAAACTGCTCTTTGACAAGTCCACAGAGGTTAGTGGTTCTTAGGAGCGAGAGTCAACTGTAACCGTAGCAACCATCATCTAATGGCACCCAAGCTTTCTGTATCAAGAGTTCAAGAAAAACTGAACTGCTCTATAGTTCTGAAGCAAACACTCTGCGTCTGCAAATATCTTGTCATCGTGCCAGAAATTACAGTACTTCTTTCCCACACCAGTAAACATTCTGGTTGCCTATTGGTCCAGCTGAAATGATAAGGCACTAATCAGTCCGTCTACAAACACACAGTCACTACAACAACAAATTACATTTATATCGCGCTCTTCATGTGGGTTAGCGTCTCGGAGCTTTACATTTGACAGTAAATCCTTTGAAGTGCTTTGAAATGTCTCAATGACGTGACAAAGCATTAGGTCAAAGGCAAGGATGATGATTATTATTATAATGTCACTAGTCTCTTCCCTTCCCCTTACCCACCCAATCCCTCATTTTCTCCTGTCTTCTCGCCATATAATTCTCTCCACCCATATAATCATCCTGGCTCTGGATCTTTCCTCTCCTTCTTGCCACTCATTAAACCACTCAGTTTTCTGATACATTTCTGTTCACATGCCAAAAGGCAGATGAAGAGAAAAGAGGTCCTTGCCTCCTGAATCATGAAAAATATATATTTTTAAAAGATTACCTACGATGCTTTCAGAAAATATACAGGGTAATAAATGATTAGATATCATTGGTAAAAAAAGACATGGAAAATTCAAACCAATCCCGGTATAATGTTTAGTCCAAAGCTGGTCAAGTTTTCTACGGTATTGTCTTTGCCTGTAAGTGACACTGCATTGAATACCCAACCAAATGCAACAGTAATCAGTTTTGACGAAAGGTCATTGACCTGAAACGTTAACTCACTTTCCTCTTGCCATAAATGCTGCCTGATCTGCTGAGTGTTCTCAGCGAGTTCTGTTTTTAAGGTTATTTAAGCTACTGCTACTTCATAGTCAAACAAGAACAAGCGTGACTATTTAAAGAAAGGCTCTGCAATCCACTGAATACTTACTTCTAATTTCTTCTACAATATACACCATGATACTGTGATTGTTATAGAACTACAGATGCTGAGCCTGTTAAATAAACATTGGCTTACCTCCATTAAAAAGTACTTCACCAAGACAATCTCTGGGCACTTTGGATGCACATCGTTTGTGACAGTTAAATCTGCAATCTGTAAAACCACAACACAAAGTAAAATCTCGCTGAAATGCAAAAGTATATCAAGGCACATTACAACCTATGTTTTTACAAAGTTACCACTAAAAATAATCAAATATCGCTGGAAATACTATGGGAGTCTAACATGAGGTTTATATTTTGACATTCCTGAAGTATCAAACGTGAATTATCTGGATGTTCTGAAGGTGGACAAACACCTCCTAACCAACAACATTTTCAATGCCAATTCCTGAGACAGGATTTATTCTGAATTCAAGAAAGGTCTGAATGTTTATAGTTCCTATTATACAATAGATGTCACTAGTCTCTTCCCCAATGCTTACGGTCTCAAGACTTACAGCAATTCTCTTGCACACCACTAGACTGATTATTTCTGAGGAAGGATCCGAGCTTTAAGTTACAGGGGACTTGTTGTGTAATTCCATTTTATTTTTTATATATTAAATATCCAGCACCTGTGGGTTTTGTTTTGACATTTCAATGTGAGAAGACGCTATAAAAATGCTATAAACGAGTTACACTGGCAAAGCTTCAAATTGGACATACAAAGCACTACCGTGGAGTCCTGTAGCTCAGTGGTTAGAGCACTCGCCTTGCAAGCGAGACACCTGGGTTCAGTTCCAGGCAGGGCGAAACCTTGGGCAAGTTTCCTTACTCCACACTCCTAATAATAATCCCTCCAAAACAAAAAACAATAATAAATTGGTCATTTTCAATCCACGACTGTTTGTGGGACACTGCTGTGCGCCGCGTTTCGCCCACAAATATACAGTCAATTCACTTTACAGCATATTCTGTGAAGCGCTTTGAGACACTATAATAGTAATAATAATCCTTGCATTTGATATAGTGCTTTTCACGTCTTCTCGACGTCTCAAAGCGCTTCACAGAATATACTGTAAAGTGAATTGACTGTATATTTGTGGGCGAACGCAGCAGCCAATTGTGCAAAGCGAGTGCTCTAACCACTGAACTACAGGACTCCAAATATATCCCTTATATCAAATGCAAGGATTATTATTATTATTATTACTTAAATGGAAAAAGACATTGCATTAGATTTGAAATCAAATGAGACACTATAAGTAAACAAAGCAACAGGAAAGCAATTGTTATTGAAACCACTGTGATACATTAAACTAAGTAGTATTCAACTAGAACCACAACTGTCAGAGGTTAAGCAACACTTACCTCTACACTGCATGCCTTGCCGAAACAGACCCTTTAGCAACCGCTTGCAGAACTGGCAGATTGTAGGGCGTGTGTAGGAATGGATAACAAAGGTGTGAGGTACTTTTACCCTTCCCAACACCATCTTTTCCATCCAGATCGGACGTCCGCTCCACGACGGAATTCTTTTGCTGGTTTCCTGGTGACATCGCTGTAATAAAAGTTGCAGATTAATTTCAGATTACGATACAACCAGAATGAAGCAGTTTTTACATTCAAATCTAATGAGAAATTCTCAATAGCGACTCCATTGTACATTGGGATTGTGTATAGTAATAAATTACCATCATCTCTGACCAATACAAAGACATAGTAGTTCCCAAGATAAAGCTATATCTTACTATTAGTTATGTCTGCTCTTGCAGCAATCTAAGTGTCCTAATAAATCCTTTTCACATCTGAGTGGGAAGGAAATGGTTCAGGTTTTGAAATATTTATTTGCAGTAAAACAAACTGAGCATGTGGGAGGCAAATAATGTGAAATTCCATGAGGAGACAATTGCTTAGTTTCCTGTTCAAGATTGGTTATTTAAATCTGTCAGACTCTGATTAAACTTCTCAGATTTAACATGAAATTAAAGCCCTTGAACATCAAGTATCATGTTATTATTATTAGGACTCCATACTCCAGTGCAGCAATAAAACAGCACGTCATTGTCAAAGGTGTCACTCTTCAGATGAGATGCTCCTGTCTGCCTGACTTCAAGTGGACATGCAAAGACCCCACCACATTATTAAAAAAAGGACATTTCTTCCAGTGTCTTGGTTAACACTCCTTCAAATAAATTGGCCATTCAACTCGTGTCTAATTGCTGGGCCTTGCTGGTGCCTACAAAAAAACAATCACTGTATCTGACAGGAATTACCTGTGAAAACGTTAAGATGTTCAATGCATTGTCGCATTGTAAAAATGCAAGTTCAGTCTTTCTTATAAAAGTCTGACAAATGGAAAAATGAACTAGTTCAAAGAGACCGCAAAATAACGGATGCCCAAACCACAGAATTTTTAATTTCAGCCACACTGTCGTTGTGCTTAGAAACAATCCTATATTCTTTCTGTCATGAATAATTCAAGAGAAACAAAAGAAGACCAGATGCTTCTCATTCAGAGATGTACCCTGGGCCACTCTTATGTAGCTCCTTATGGCTAAGTTCAGAGGTGGATGTCATGGAGTTGGTGCCCCCCAAAACTAGTAGTTCAACAAGTATCAGTATCCTGCCCCAACTTGTATGCAGAAACACGACAATCCTATATTCTTTTCATTATTTTCTTTACGAACAATTCAAGAGAAACAAATGAAAATTACAAACACAATTGTACCAGTGTGATTATTCCCAATAATCAGTAACTCAATTGGAAGAGTTAAATGTAATTGATTCAGTTCAACATTTAGGCCAGAACAGTCCCGAGAAAGGTTAATACTGAAGATTTTTTATTGTACTGCACAGCTTCCAGCCATTCTGCCCCTGCTCTCTAGAACTCCTTCTCACAGTCATGCCATCTTCCTTCCTTGTCTTAAAATGTATCTTTTTCACCTGACTTTTGGCCACCCTACCATCCTACAGCTCACTTTGAGATGTCCTCACAATGGGAAAGGTGCTATATTAATGTAAATTATTGTTGTTGTAGATTGGGTCTAGGCAGTAAGTAAACATAGACCAGCAATGGTCATTAAAACCAATTAACCCAAAACAGGTCTATCATAAGGACATTAAGTTGACACTGAAAACACTTTCTTGGCTCAGAGAATACTCAGTTTTTAAGTATCCAAACAGAATTTATTTAGTTTTATAATCTGCATTATTAAGGCAGGGTAACGTCATGTTTGTACTCTGGGTTTTTGGGCTTTCACCATAAAACGTTTTATAATACCAGCATTGAACAGCGTGACTTGAAAGTGCAGTGACTCATCTACATCATGGAGCCTGATGAAGATTCCTGTGGAGGGAGGGGAGATTCTGCGGATGATAACTGGAGACTTTGGTTTTTACCCAGCAGAGGATTTTCTTTCTAGTTAACCATTCACAATAATCCTCCCAAGACAAGATAGTTTCCCTCATCTCCAAGTCTGGTACAGACTGTAAACGGCTTTTGTCTTGAATTGAAATCTTGAATCATTTTCTGTCTGTTTAGTGTTTGGCAAGCTTAAATTGCAAACATGAATGAATATCTCCTTTATATTCAGATCTCAGATAGTTCAGAACAAAATAAGAATTTCAGACTGGTTGAAAGAAATGTGCTTCTTGGGATGCATTTAACAAGCTTTTAGCAGGGGGAGGAATATCATCTCAGGACAACTAAGAACTTTAAGACTGGACAGACACATTTTGGTCGTCTAAAAGGACACTAGCTACTCTCTGGTTGCACAGACTACAAACAGAGGTCAAAAAAGACTGAGGCTAAAAAAGACTGAGGCATCCACTGTTTGCAAGCTGAATATAGAATATAAAACAAATGCTACCAAATAAGAACATTGAAACAGAAGGAGGCAATTAATTCAGTTTGTCCTGCCATTTATTAGATCGTGGCAGATTTTTTTAATTCCATTTCCCCACTTTTTCTCCATTATCCTTAAAAAAATGTACTTCCCGGGTATGCAACTATTCCCTTTTAAACATCCCAAGCAATTCCGCACATCAAGCCCTAAATGTAGAGCCAGGCTATTGAGGAGTGAAGTCATCACTTTTTCATACAAAGGGCAGTGGAAATCTGAAACTCTCTTGCCTCATGAGGCTGTGGATTGAAAATTTGTTCAAATTTTGAAGACTGAGGTCAATAGATTTTCATTAGGTCAAGGGATATGAAGCAAAGGCAGGTAAATGGAGTTGAGGTACAGATCAGCCATGATCTAACAGAATTGGCAGAACAGGCTTGATGGGAAGAATGGCCTATGTTCCGATTAGGAGCGGTGGAAGCTCATGTGGAGTATAAACACTGTCATAGACTAGATGGGCCGAACAGCCCATTTTCATGCTGAATGATTCTATGTAATTCAATAAAAACACTGAATGTAGTAACTGAACCAGATTGGAACTCCTCAGTGTGGATTTCTCTCTGGAGCTGGCAGCTTACTAACGTTTACAGTGTATACCTTGGGGAGAAAAACAGATCATTTCCAGGATGTTGAGGAAACTGCAATGTTTTGGAATAAAAAAAATATGACCTTTCACCACGGAAGCTCAAATCATAGGCGCATTTTGTGTTGAGTTATGCTTGCATGTGAATTTATTCATTAAAAATGTCCCCTCCACGCATCTTCCTCCAGTGTTGGAATTTTCCTCCCACAGACAGCTTTCTTTATATTCACACAGGATGATTTTCCTCTTGTCTTTATCTTCTTCCCTCCCTGTCCTCACCTTCATAAATGTCCCACAATGAGGTGAAAGAGCAACATTTCCTGCAGTAGATAATATATTATGTGAGCTCTCCAGGTAGCACATTTTAGATTGGGAGGACATCCCAAGGCTCTGGATAGACTGGGGTCGGAGGCAGACACAGACACATCTTAAGTCTCAGCCTCGTATGAACATTTTACCTTAAAATTTAAATTTCCCAGAATTGCAGAAAACTTAATTTGGTAAGTCACAACTTGGAAACTGTTTTTTCGCACCTTGTAAAGAATCAATTTCAAATGAACACTGAAATTCAAGAATTTTCCACTAATATGCGCAGTCTGGCATTTTAAGAGAAAATGGGCTACAAATGGGTAGATTTTTGGATCTTGTTTACTCACTCACCTCTTCAGTTACTACTGGTGAATGATCCAATGGCACAGGTCTTGGAATGGAGAGTCCTGGCAGAGAGACATTGGACAAACGTCTCTTTCTGACTCCGCTGCAGTTGTTTGGAATCTTGAAGGCACATCGTTTGTGATAGTTTAGTCCACATCCTGACAAGGGATCAGGGAAATGATGGCGAGGGAAGAAAAGTAAATGTAAATGGTCAGTTTAGATACAAAGAACAATCTACAGAATTAATTTTATGAGAATAAATGAAGAAGATTAATGAGTACACCCATTACATGGTCAGCATGGAATGAAGCCTTGAAACCAAAACCAACCATATTGCTCCATTCATTAAGTCATCTGAATCTCTGCAGGATGAATGATCGAAGCTGGATCTAATTGTCCCTCGTATTGCCATCACATCACGCCAATGCAGGTCACCTGCATGTGTTTGCACATACTTAAACAAACCCTCCAAATTCTGATCAGAATGGAATTAGAAAGCCAAAGAACCAACGTGAATTTCTAAAATAGGCAGCAAGCTCAATCATGTGAATGACTCCTCTTCGTGTATTTTGTTAGGTTTCTTCCCCATTTACTGGAATTCTCTACATTGTCTTTTCTTGTTTTAACTCTCTTCACCTCTATATCACACTTGATTAGTTTTTCTGGACTATTATTGATTATTATTATTAATAAAAATACTATTCCATTTGGTAAAACACCTTTCACGTCAGGAGGACGTCCCAAAGCACTTCACAGGATGTACTGTACAGTTCAGTAATAAAGTAATAAAGACGAAGTGTGTGTGTGTGGGTGGGTCTGTTTCCACCAATAATGCAATAAGCGAGTGACCTAGAGATATGATTTATACCTCACTCATTCCTCCCACAGGAATCCTCCCAATAGCACATTTTCTAAGCGAAAAACAAGACATTCAAGGACAAATAAAAATGCCAGAGAAAAGAGAGAAGGTCGATTAAATGAAACTAAAGAACAAAGAATAGCATAGTTGGACATCAATGCTGAAATGATTACAAGAGCGAGACAAAATGAGTTGCCTGTTCAAAGAACAGCACGGCTGGGCTTCAATGCTGAAACGACTGCAACAACAAAGCAAAATGAATTGCCCACTCAAAGAACAGCCCAGCAGGCCTTGATCGCAGAAAGGCATGCAAGGTTTACGTACAGTGTTTATGGCATATTAAATGGTTCGTGAGTGGTAATGAACTGAAATTTACATTCCATATTGGTTCCTTTGCTAGCAAGTATAGCAGCAATGGGTACAGCTAGTTTATAATAATAACAATAATCCTTGCATTTAATATAGTGCCTTATCACGTCTCAAAGTGCTTCACAGAATATACTGTAAAGTGAGTTGACTGTATATTTTGTGGGCAAAACGCAGCCGCCAATTGTGCACAGCAGTGTCCTACAAACAGTCGTGGATTGGATGACCACATTTTGGATGATCCGCCAATCGACTAAGAACTGGGTTCCTACTTACTGCTGGTAAACAGAGGCATGTGGAGAAAGGAAACTTGTCTAAGGTTTTAAGTATTAATTAGCACATAAGGGATCATCACTCAGAGAAACGGGAAAGATAAAAGAGTCAGAGACCAGAACAGTCCAACTTCAAGCAGGAAGACATATCCCCTAAAATGCCTCCAAAATCATAAAATTATTATGTGTATTCAACTAGTCTCAAATTAGCACTCACATACAAATGCAACACCTGTATTTTATACCCTGTGCAAATGTTTTTAATCCTTGTGGTGATTGCTTCCCAATAAATGCTGTGTCATTAAATATTCTCCACATTTCAAATAAGGAGGGAGAATATTTATTGCACAAATATACAATTCCTCAAATGTTTCAAGCATAAGTAAGTTTAATAAAGAGTTCTATACCTTAATCAGTAAAAAAAACCACAAATGAGAAGTGAAACTCCAAATATTGTACAAAATGAGGACTCTTAAATGGCACCTGCTGAGCTGAGAACGGCCTTGTTCCAAAAAATTGTCAGACATCTGTACATATGGGAAGAGATTGAGGGTTGTTGGGGTGGGTGGGGGGCGGCAGAGTGAGCAGGAGTTATAAATACAGGGGCTAATTGGAGCAGAAGTGCCAGCTGACAGCTACAGGGCTAAAGCAAATGTAAATGTTAGTGACTGTGTAAACATCAGCACAAAAGCTCACTTGCGCCAAGAAAGATTGTATGAGTTATTGTTAACCCAGAAGCCCTGCTGGTGCCCATACCGTTCCTCAGAGAGGTATCCACTAGAGGGCACCCGGCACTGCATGAGGTACAAGATACCAAATCTCTTAGAACTTTATTTTGTGCTCCACTTCCTCTCTCGTTTCCTTTGTGCTGATTTAGGTAACTGCAACTGTCAGACACAAGACAGTTCAATTTGCAACAAGATCGCTTCAGAAAATGCCACACAATAACATAAGGCAGCATGTTGCTCAACATTATTAACCCTTTCTGTGACATAATGTCACACAAATGTACTTATCATACCTCAGAATTATCATTTGCATTTGATACAGTGCCTCATCACTCATTGAAACATCTCAAAGTGCTTCACGGAATTTACTGTTAAGTGTAGTGACTATTTGTAGGTGAACGGGGCATCCAATTTGCACATAACAATGTCCCACAAATGGCCATGAAAGTGAATGACTGATTTTTATCTACAATTCTCTGCAAATGTTATATAATAATCCTTGCATTTGATATAGCGCTTTATCACGTCTTTGAGACGTCTCAAAAAGCTTCACAGAATATACTGTAAAGTGAATTGACTGTATTTTAGTGAGCGAAATATTCAATGTCCTTTCAAAGACAGAGGGCAATGAACAGGATATTCCAAACAAGGTCTCAACAGTGTTCCATTTTATTTTAATTTATAGTCAAAGCCTTCAGGCTGCAATCTAGTACTATCTTTCATAAGCTATATTGATAACAGTATCACATGATCTTAAATATTTCAGTGAATGACAATAAATCAAAATGAAATGCTTTTGCTTCTCCACCCTTGCTAATGGGCTTCTTTCAACCTGTACATATTTCCTGTTTACAGTATCAATATGCATCATGTTATATTTATCACTGTCAAATCAATCTGTCATACTTTAAACCCATCTACTTAAGTGGTCGAGAATATCTAAAATGTAGACGTGTTCCTTTTTATTTGTAGTCTAACGACATAGCTCAGTGTGAAAGTGACCTTGGTAACAATCGGGACTCAGTCATTTTTAAACACTTTGTGCGGGAAATGAGCCAGCTGGTAGTGCACAGTGAATGGGTTCAGTGAATGGAGTCCACATCCCATTCATATTATAAACAAATCAGCCCTATAATGAAGCACAATGGAGCTGCATTACACATTGGTCACTTATAGAAAAGACGAGTGTATAATGACCAATTTTTATATAGGGAATTAGGTAAACAACTGTCTTAGCGAACAATTGAGGTAATAAAGAGAAATAAAGATTGAGGTCTTTTCATATTGGGCTGGAAGGACACCACTTTTTGGCACATGCCAATTGCCTGACTTTATTTACATACAACTTAATAAAATTAGCATACAATGGAGCCACATTATAAAGTGGTGGTTGGATTCATGAAATCCCAATGAATAATGAGGTGCAATAGCCACATGTTCACAGCTGGCCAGCTCGCTCCCAGGATGTCAGCTAGTTCCCATGCTTAAAAAAAGGCTGACTGCCAGATCACCAAGTTAGCACCAACGTCACTTCCTGTGTGCAGCTGGCAGGCTCCGCACATGTGGCTACTGGACCTCACGACCATGTTATAGCCAAATCCATGCCATATAGAGGCAGTTCATAGCTGGGCTAGCTGCACCGTAGTTAAGAATGAGCTCAAAGCTGTATTGAATTCAGTTTAACTGGAACCATCGATCAACTTAATATGGGCCACTTAGTGAGGTTAAACTGCATTCACTCAACAGCAGCTTTATCATCTCCCAAAAAAGGCATGAAATTCAGCTATTCGGAAATTCGCAGTCAAGATTTAACCATATTCTTATAAAATGCATTATTGAAATTCACAAAGCCAAGTCAATGATTTTTTTGTTAATAGCTAGATGTGACCATCAGTCAGCTCTGACTGGGGAAAAATACTGCACACAAATGATGCAAAAATTGTGGATTAAACTGTGACTATAAAAATAATCTAAGATTTAAAATTTAAGATTGGCACGTGGCACTGGCACTAGATTTTTTTTAGGCATAAATTCATGGAACAAATTGGATCATAAATGACAACAAATTGCAGATATGTTAATTTCACTCAAACCTGCTATAAAATACAGTAGTTAATATGGAAAACATGGATCATTACCCGGTGTAGTACAACAACATCAACTAATTACATTTGTACAATGTAGTCCTCTCAAATTGAGGCTAAATTCCACTAGTGCACTTAAAGCTTTGTGGGCCAACTGGCTGTGCTAATACTCAACATGGGTGTAATTAAAGAGTCCGCACTGTAGCCCTCAACAATAGACTTTGAGGACAGATTACTCGATCTCCAGATTATGTCAGGTTCAAGTATACAACAATTTACATTTATACAGCGTCTTTCAGATCGGGAGGTATCTTATTCACACAGCTAACTGGGAGGCTAGGATGTGGGGTAGAGGGAGAGAGAAAAGCTGAGAAAGAGGGGGGGTGAGGAGGGGTGACCAAAAATGCAGTATGCAACATAACAAAGATTCTTGTGGAAGATGTCTCTTAAGTCACCTTCCCCTTGCTCAGCTTCCAACCCTACCACCATGCATTGATCCAAAACTCTAAAGGTGCTATGTAAATGCAAATTATTGGCCCTGGAAGAAATGTGGAAATGAGTTGATTTGCATCTTGTTAGAATAACATATAGGAGCAGGAGTAGGCCAATCGGCCCTTCGAGCCTGCCCCGCCATTCAATCATGGCTGATCTTCTAATCTAACTCCAGCAAATAACCTAACCCTGCCTTATCCCCATATCCCTTAATCCCTTTTGCAATAAGAAATCTATCTATCTCAGTCTTGAATATGTTCAAGGACTGAGCATCAACAGCCTTTTGGGGTAGTGAGTTCCATACATTCACCACCCTTTGAGTGAAGAAGTTCTTCCTCAACTCAGTGCAAAAGGCTG